ACAGCACAGTGGGAGGGCACAGGCACTGCTGGCAGTGGGTGACGGCACAGGGCTGTGCTGGCACTGTTTGCCTGTCCTGAGCCCAGATCATCTCTGCTGGTGAGGGGGATGGGGAGCAGGGGCAGCCCAGAGAGGGTCCCTGTGCCAGGCTGCTCCATGTCCCAGCAAGGCAGGCAGCCAGGCATGGGCTCCCTGGGAGCCGAGGGGCTACATTGCTCTCACACAGGCACCCCTAGGGGTTGCCGATAGCTTGGCCGGGGTCCCATGTCCCTCTAAGCAAAATTCCCCACTGTGCATGTCAAATCCCAGCTGGCAGAACCACCCCTGCGCCCTCCCCATGCTGGTGAGGGTGGCCGCAGCCTGGCTAGGAAGAGCTGGGTATTTTGTGGAGTCCTTGCCTGGGAGCAGATTATTCACCCCTCAGCCTCCATTCCCAAACAGGTCTGTGCACTCCACCTTACCCTTGCTTGTAAATAGTTTCCTCTGACTGTGGGATGATTGCTCCCCAGGCAACAACAACAGCAAGTGGGATGCAGTCGGCTGGCCGGAAAGCTGGGCTGCCGGCCAGGAGGCCATGGTGGCTGGGGGGTGCTACTCACCACTGTCTCCTAAAAGCAGTCCCAGGGCATTTTCACACCAGGGTTAGATGGGTGGGGTTGGCTGGGGGAGTTGACACCCAGCCCAGGGTCTGTGGAGCCAGGGAGGCTCACCCCGGGATGCATGGCTCCCTTCCACTACTCCAGTTCCATGGGGATTGCTTTCGGCTGCCTGCCATGGAAAATGCAGGGCACGAGCACTGCGGCCGCAGCAGGGAGGCTCAGGGTGCAGAGGGGTGCTGCCGGCTCCCCCGGGCATGCCCGGGGGACTCCTGGGCTCTGAGTGGGAGCCCGGGTCCCCCCAGGGTTAGTCAGGGAGTGATGCTGCAGTGGCTCCTCTTGCTGGGGATCCGGTGACCATCCCCAAGCCTGGATGTGCCTTGTGTGCTGCCAGGGCTGCGCGAGGGCCAGGCCAGGCACCATCTCCGTCACCTCCTGGCTTGGAGCCGGGCCAGAGCCCGCCCCGGCTGGGCTGGGAAAAGCCTTTGAATCAGGGTCATCTCCCAGGTGACTGGAGACTCTCCGAGCCACATGAGCCACTGTCCTGACAGGGAAGGGACGCCAGGCAGCCGAGTAGCCGAGTGCTAGCAACACCAGGACAGAGGAGTTAGGCTGGGGTCCTGCTCTTCTCGGTGCCAGACACAGCCCCAGGACAGGTAGGGGACCAGCCACCAGCTTGCCAGTGTGGGTGCCAAGAGCAAACTTTCCTCCAGCTCCAGACAGCCCGCGTCAGCAGGCACTGGAAGCTGCTAGCTGCCGCTCTGCCCTGGCCCGGCTCCAGGCTGGCTCCGCGTGTGCTCTGAGCACCTCTGTCCCTGTCCCCTGTACGCTGCTCTCCTGCCCCGTACGGGTGCCTTGGGGCAGAAGCCACCAGCTCCCTGTGGTGACTGAGCGCTGGGCAGTCACCCACCCCTGCAGGCTGGCTCTGCCCGGCTGGAGGGGGCACAGCAGCCACCTCGCCGGGACGACTCACGTCGGCTTGAATTACTGAGGGGAGGCTAGCAGGGAGCAGCCGCAGCAGGGAGACGGGCAGGCTGCTTGGGTGGCCAGGCCCCTGCAATGAGGGGATCCCTGGCTGTCCCCTTGGTTGCCCAAGGCCCCTGGGCAGTCGTGGCTGCACCGAGGTCTTCACACAAAGCCTAGTGCCAGGCACCAAGCAGGGAGAAGGGACGGAAGGCAAGGACTCCTGCGCTGACTTCCTGACCTTGCCTCAGTTTCCCTCTCAGCCAAACAGGGTGTGTGTTAGCAGCAAGTTGAAAATGCCAGCCCCCTGCCAAGCCCTGGTACTCACTCTGAATAACCAGGGGAAGGTGCTGGGCTGACTGGATCTGTCCATCCCGCCTGCCTGTCTCAGTCAGGGTTGGGCCTAAGCATTGTGATTATGACCAGGCAACTGCCCTCCCATCTGGAGGAGGTATTGGGGCCACCTCTCCAGCACCACGAGTACGACAGCCATGGGATGGTGTGGCAGGGATGCCAGGGCTGGGACAGAGGAGAGCTCTGCAGACTCTTGGCTTCAGTAACTGTAGGTGCTGGGACAGCCATGGGATGGTGTGGCAGGGATGCCAGGGCTGGGACAGAGGTGACCTCTGCAGACTCTTGGCTTCAGTAACTGTAGGTGCTGGGATGCTGGGTGCCTGTGGCTGTGACCCTGGGCGCCTTTCTGTGGGGAGAGGTGCCCCAAGGCACATGGGTGGCAGTGCCAGCTGGGCCCTGCTGTCCCAGGCTCTCCAGGAGGGCTGGCAGGTGGCAGGAGCCATGGCCACAGTGCACCCCACAGCCTCCCCTGCACCCTTCGTCCCCTAGGTTCCCGCTGTTGCCTGCCCACCCCTCCCAAGGTCTCCAGGCGAGGCAGGACCCAGCGAGCTCCTGGGTGGCTGCTGATGGTGAGCACCCTGTTTTGCTGTCCATGGCCTGTGGAAACTGACCCCTGGGCTCTTCTCATGCAGTCAATGCCTCCAGGAGAGCCCACTGAGCTCCAGCCTCCAGCATGTCCCAGCTCTCCTCCACTCTGAAGCGGTATGTCGACTCTTCCCGCTACGCCGAGACCACCTACAGCAAGGTGCCCAGCAGCTACAGCTCCTATGCCTCCTACGGATCCACCTTGGCCACATCCTATGCAGACAGCGACAAAATCGGCTTCAAAGCCAGCTACCTGGCCTTCCCCCGCTACCACCACACGGGGCTGTCCCCAGCCAGCGGCTATGACAGCAGCC